GACAGAGAGAGAGAGAGAGAGGGGGGGAGAGAGGAAGAGAGAGAGAACTATAAAATTTGATTTTTAAATATTATTGTTGGTCTGTCTTTATATAGGACTGTGTTCATGATTGTGATATGACGTACTTATATCTAATAAAGAAAAACAAAATAAAAGTCATTTACGAAGTTAATACTCTTGTTCATGAATTTTTAGTCAAACAAATTCCTTTTAGATGAATTATAACTGCTCTAGATTACAACATTTTAGTACAATTAAACCAATTTAACACAAATGAAAAAAAACCCTCCTATTTCCAACTGTGTTCGTCGGGCGTGTAACTTGTAAACGCCACAGAGGCACATAGGAGTTTTGTGCACGGCGGCCCAGCTTACTTAGCCGTCGCACCGTGTCTCTTCTACCGGGTGCCCATTGCGATTGAGAGCAGATCGGGTCGGGTCCATCGCACGGCTTGTCGCCTGAAAACAAATGCGTTTGTTTTTTAGGCGACAAGTCAGGCGATCGGTTCGTGCCGCGATAGCCGCATGGCGCCCTCAATCTGGCTAGAAAACCGACTAGACCTGACCCATTCGTGCCAAAGTTAGGCGATTGGTGTGTGCTACAGTAGCCGCTTTGCACCCTCAATCTGGCTAGAAAACCGACCTGACCTGACCCAATCGGGCCCTTGGGCACCCCATATTATTATTTTTAGTAGACCTAAAAATACATGTAGTTGTAATTCGAGGCGGTCCATTGTGCGCAACCGTATCGTTTGAATCGCGGCCTTTCCTTTTCTTTTCTTTTTTTTTTTTCATTGTGGACCTAGATCAAATGTGGTAGTTGAGTTGAAAAGTCCACAACGTTGTCCATGTCGAAAGGGCGGGTTAAGTACAAATGAGGTTGTTCCCTCCTAAGGAAGAAAAAAAAATAATAGCAAGCAGCAAGATTAAAATACCATGCCCCTTCAAACATCGGAAGAACTATGCCCATATATATTGTGTGTGTATGGGGGAGGGGGGAGTTTGAATGTTTTCAAAAAATAAAAAGCAATATCTGTTTTCGAGAATAAATGTCTTCTCAATGAATTTTTAGTAAAATAGATTCCTTTTGAATGAATTATTAGACTACTGTTACAAATTTCCAAACTATAGTACAAATTTTATGTTAGATATTCAGAAAAAAAGTAGTGACATTTTTTGGAGGAGGTTATCCTGTGCTTGTACTTTATTCTCTCTCTCTCTCTCTCTCTCTCTCTCTCTCTCTCTCTCTCTCTCTCTCT